TCAAAAAAAAAAAAAAAAAAAAAACCACTTTACAACATTATGCTAAGGGGGAAAAAAACCTATTACAAAAGACCACATAGTATATAATTCCATTTAAATGAAATGTCCAGAATAGGCAAATCTACAGAGACAAGAAATAAATGTGCAGTGCTAGTGGCTGCCAAGGGCTGGGGTGGGGTTAGGGAAAAGGAGAAGTGACTGCTAAATGAGTAGAGGATTTTGGGGAAGTTGATAAAAATGTCCTAAAATTGACTGTGGTGATGGTTCAATATGCTAATAACTACTGAATTATACGTTAATAGCTGAATTGTATATGAGTGAATTATACCTCAATAAAACTGTTATAAATTTTACATAGTAAGACATCTCATTTTCTTGGACAGGGACACAAGTAACATTCTCATCCAATTTCCCATGACTTCATATGGAAATTTATAAGACAGTAAGTGAAGAAAGTCAGTTTCTCTATATATAGATAATAAAGCTGACTGGTTCCAGTGACTGATTCAGACACATGATTGGAGAGGTGAAAGGTTATCCTAAGGTAGTCCTATTCATTCATTTTACAAGAGAAGAAACAAAGATAACTTACCACAGGCCATATACCTCAGTAGCTGCAAAGCCAAGACCAGAAATCAGGGCTGACAGGTGAACTCAAGTTCTCTACATGAGCATCAACAACTTCTACCTTTCTGTCAGGATTACAGAAGCCATAAAGCAGCTAAACACTACAGTTACCCTGATCTTGTCATACCTTGGTGTTTTTAGAGTCCAAGATCCATTCACCATTCATTTACCTGGATAGATACATTCTCAAGCTCTGTCAAAGCAGAACTAATCGTTAAAAGTTAGAGCTAGAGCTAGCCAGGCATCATGGTGCACGCCTGTGGTCCCAGTCACTCAGGAGGTGGAGGTGGAAGGACAGCCTGAACCCGGGAGGTCGGGCCATGATCGTGTCACTGCACCCCTACCTGGGCGACAGAGTGAGACTCCAACTCAAAAAAAAAAAAAAAAAAAAAAATTAGAGCTAGAAGAATACGCCCCAGGAACCACTTAATTCCCTGCTCCAGACAAAGAAAATGAGAAACAGAGATCAAATGACTTGCTCAAGGCCTCACAACTATTTGGTGACGGAGCTAGAACCAGAGTCCAGGTCTCCCAACTTCCAGCTCATGTTCTTCCCCTTTCTAGAACATTTTCAGCCTACACCTTTTCAATATCATGAACCACAAAGTAGGTAAAGAGAAAGAAGCAAGCAGAGTAATTCCTGTTCAATCTTTGCATAAGATAATTATCAAAGCACTACTAAAAACTACATATTTTTCTTCCTCTCTCTTTTTAAAAGCAAGCCCAGCAGGGTTCTGAATACCTATTCCCCTAACACCCCCATTCGTGATGGGAATCATACATATTAAGTGTTTAGCACGGCACAAAACAAGGACAAGATCAATCACACACACAGTGAGATGAGACAAGGGAAAACTGGAACGAGTTCTAGGGAGGGGAAATAAGTGATGTTTTTACCTATCCAGAATAATACCTTGGTTTTCCTTTTGAGAATGTCCCTTCTCAATTTCAGATCAAGGAGTTGGGATGAGTCTAATCCACTCACCCACCAGGTTCTGGGAACCAGGCCTGGTCAAACTCATCCTTCTGGCCATATGATCGCTCATGAATAGACATAAGAATCAAGTCAGCCAAGTGAGAATCAGATCTGAAACTTCCGCTCTTTTGGCAAAGAGAAGTCTCTTTCTGCTAGGGTTGTCAACCTAGTACAGACATAACCTGCCGTCGTAAGGAGAAAGTCTGTCTGAGAATGAAGCCAACACCAAAGAAATCAGATCCAAGAGATGCAAAAAAGAAGCCAAGCCTGATGCCAATGTTGGTGCTCCTGGATTCAACTCAACCCCATTTTACCTAAGTCAGTTTAAGCTCAGTTTCCATCACCTAGAGAAAGAAATCCTCACTCTTTTACTAGATAGCTCTCAAATTCCACCAATAAGGGAGGTGCCTGGGACAAATGGCCTCTCCTCTCTCAACCTCTCAATGAACTCTTGTGTGAGATAAAAAGGCTCTATTAGCTGATGTTGGAAAACCCTTCTGCCCCTAAAAGACCACCTTAGTCCTCAAAGGCTTTACCGCCTCACCACATCCTTCCACAGGGAGTCTGTTTCTCTGCTCACTCCTAACAAACTGTGGCAAGGCCAAGTCCAGGTCAAGGTGGATTTGGCATCTGTCTACACAAGCACAGGCCACGGTTGGTGTTGGGCAAGTAAGCCTGGCCATGCTGCCAAGTGAGTTCATTCAAGTCTCAACTAGTTAGAAGGTGGGAGACCCCTTGTGGATCGCCAGGGATTTTGGCTGTGTGAACTCTGAGCATGTCTCTTGTCTCCCACTTTTATTAGCTGCTCGGATAGCTATACCCTAGTTGTGGGAGAATAAATTAAAACGTTTCACGTGAGGCTGGGGGATAATGCTTCTCGCCTCTCTGTGCCCAAGGAGAGAGCCCAGGATAGGCTACTATGGGGTTTTTCTGAAGGTTATACCAAAATATTCTCTTACACAGCCTCTGAAACAATCTGGGTGGGGAGAGGCACCCGGGTGCTTATCTTTGTGGAGGTGACAGATCAGTAAGGCGAACTGCAGACGTCAGTATTGTCAATATTGTAACTTCAGGGTTAGACTCTGGGAAAGAGAGGCCAGGGCAGCGGCTCACCCACCTTCCCGGACTGGAGGAGGAGCTAGGAGGGACCAACTTCCTGCAACAGCTGGGCCTTCCGCGGGGCCGGGGGGCGGTGGGCCACCACCGACGGCCACCGCCCCCTC